TTGGTGGATCAGAAATTAACAATTCCTAAAAATTCAAAAGCAGACATGACCAGATTGAATGAAGAATGTGCAGAAAATAAGTGCTGTAAATGTGGTAACAACATTATATCCCTATGTATAGTGTATCTGAGAAATTAAAAGATGTAATAATATTAACACTATTCTCATTAAAAATATGGAAAATAGGAGTCAAGAACAAGACAAGTTAGCTGCATGTTCCTGCTATTGAAAAAGAGGAAATAAAAGATATAAGCATAGTAATGAATGGAAATAAAACTGTTAATATTTCTAGATGATCTGAGAGTCTACTTAGAAAACCCAAGAGAATCAACTAACAAACCAATATAACCAAGAAGACAAGGCAGTTTAGTACATGACTAGAAACAATATCACACAAAAAAACTATATCTTTTTTCAGCATCAGCAATAATCAGAATTAATCCATTTTGTATATTTTATTTATTTTTTCAATAAAAAATGCGAATACGGTTGAAATTCCTTGTGAGGCTTTTCCCATTTCATTCAGTTCTCACAAACTCAGAGGTAACCACTGTCTTACATTTGCAGTTTTTCATCTCTATGAATGCTTTTTATATTTTGCTCTGTGTGTATATGTGCATGATGTGTGTGTGTCAAGGGGGAGGGGTGGAGGGTCCTTAAAAATGCATATTATTGAAATTAATCCAAAATATAAAGTATTATTTTGCATATTGAGAATTGTATATAAGTAGTATTAAATTATATATATCATTGTGCAAATTACTTTCACCCATTAATACATTTAGACTCATTCACGTTGATATTTACATATGTTTAGGGCATTCTTTCTGATCATGTGAAATTAATATGGATGTATACTTTTTGAGCTATTTTTCTCTCATTTCCAGAAATATATGTGAACAGTGAAAAATGCACCTCAAAAGATATATGCAATGGATTGAATATCTGTGTCCCCCCAAAATTCATATATAAAAATCCTATATATGTATATATGTATATATGTATATACATATATACATATATATATAAAATGTTGTAAAAAAAAACTGTTAGAAAACTGACAATATGGATGGAGTACCTTTGAGTAAGTGAATGAGTTTGAGTGAGATAAAAGGAGGTTTTTGCTTTTACTATCTATTGTTAGAATTTTTAAAAAGAGAATATGTTCTTATGTTGTATTTTTTTAGAAGATAAATTGATGGAAGATACATAAGTAGACAAATGCTAGATCCCCCAAAAAGTGGTCACTTAGAATAGACAAAGAACCAGCCCCCAGGATATACAATCCAGTAAGAGCAGACTATATTATAAGCTTTTTAGATGATCATAATTGGCATTCTTATGGCCCGTAACTGAAGTTTCCATTTAATTTTTACTTTTCTTCTTGTTTGTTGAATTAAAATACAAGAAAGCAAGACAAGTAGTTGTAAATTAACATACTTACTAATATATTTCAAAGTTTTCAGTCGGAGAAGACAACCACGAAAATTCAAGCGCAGCACATTTAGACGCCACTTTTGCAAAGTAGACACCACACATTTATCTGTGATCAAGTCTTTTACCACAGAAAAATCAATCTAAAAAGGGAAAACAAAAGACATTAAAAATGAAAAGATCTTTTGCGTGTAATTTTTTTTTAATATTTATAAACCATCAAGGACTAAAATTTCTTTATATCATCACTCATTTTGAAGGGTTGTTTTTTGTTGTTTTTTTTTTTGTCATTTTTCATGGTCATTCCCAGCTTTAATAATGAACAGATTTTTTTGTGGTCATTCCTGGGTTTAATTACAAACAGATTCAAAATGTCCGGTCCAGGTTAACAGCTGTGATTGTGGGAGCCTCATATCTATACCACCCCAACCTGGGTCAATTGTCTTGGAGTGGCCTGCATGCCCCCCTATCATCCCAGGTGAGCTCCAAGGCTGACCCCCACTTCAATGTCAATGCATCCTAGGTTGATTATTCATATATTTCTGCTTCTTGTTTTATGAGCACAGAATATGATGACTATGGGAAAGACAATTTAGAGGGTGTGGTTTATAATGGTCCTTTTATAACTTATAATTTAAAAGAGGTAATTTCAAAAAAAAGGAAGGATAGCCTGAGTGTACTGGTTGATTGTACGTAAAACTGAAGAGCACAGAGGTTTATGTGAGATCTGAGTGACCGGGGCTTGTTGATAAATAACAACATTGATATAGCACTAATAATAATAAGTTTCAGCAGAAAGGGTAAGTTTATAAACATCCAATTTCTTTGTCTTCTAAACAAAGCAATTCCTTCTGCATGTTTGTCATAGTTGTGCCACATTCGAGTTCACAAATAAAGGCAAAAATAAAGATGAAGGGCAACATAGAATTGTGGAAAGAGAAATTTGCTGAACATAATGAAATTTAATTTCCTATCCTGGCTTTGTTCATCAAGGCCATGTGATTATCTATACCCCATCTTTACCCAGTGAGCTCTCTGGGCAGAAGTGCTGGTGTTTTTCTGGTCAAGATGGTAGAGTAGGTAAACACCGTGCTGGTCTCCTCTCATGACCACATCAAAATTGCAACTAAACTACATAAAAACCATCATTGAGAATTGCCTGAAGTCTAACTGAAAAGATACCTAAAGTCTAAGAAATACAGAAAAAGCCAACTCAAGACTGATATGAGGGGTGGCAATGCTGAACAGACAGGTCAAACAGCCATGTGTGGCAGTTAAATATCAGGAGGGATATTTCAGTTGCAGAGGTTTCCCCAGGAAGAGCAAAGGGTCCCAGCCCCACACCAGGCTTCCCAGCTCAGAGTTCCAGTGCTAAGAAGAGAAATCCCGGCAACTTCTGGAAAATCAGCAGATATTGTAGCTGAGTGAGATGGGCAGCTGGAGTGCTAGGCGTTCCTCTTAAAGGGCTCACTTACAGAATTATTCACTGACAAACTCACTTGCTCTGAGCTCTGGTGCTGGAATAGCAGCTTGAAAGACACCAGGGACATATGGGGGAAAAACTAAATTGTCTGGCTTCAAGGCGAGGGCTGGAAGTGCAGCTTCTCCCAGACATGAGTGCTGGCAGAATCCATTGTTTCTTTGTTGAGCCCTCCCCGTTCCCAGCTTGAGGATAATTTAAGGGACCTCTGGGACAACATCAAGTGTACCAACATTTGCATCATAGGAGTAACAGAAGGAGAAGAGAGAGCAAGAAATCGAAATGTATTTGAAGAAATAATGATGGAAAATTTCCCTAACCTGGTGAAGGAAATAGGCAAACAACCCCAGGAAACACAGAGTCCCAAACAAGATGAATCCAAAGAGGCCCACACTAAGATACATTATCATTAAAATACCAAAGGTTAAGTGCAAAGAGAAAAATCTTAAAAGCAGCAAAAGAAAAGGAATTAGTTACCTACAAGGGAGCTCCCATAAGACTGTCAATCAATTTCTCAACAGAAATTTTGCAGACCAGAAGGGCTAGGCATAAAATATTCAAAGTGATAAAAAGCAAGGACCTACAACCAAGATTACTTTACCCAGCAAAGCTAGCATTTAAAATCGAAGGACAGATAAAGAGGTTCCCAGACAAAGAAAAGCTAAGGTAGTTCATCAACACCAAACCAGTATTATAAGAAATGTTAGAAGGACTTCTTTACGAAGAAGAAAATAAAAGATCAAAAATATGAGTAATAAAATGGCAACAACTACATATCTATCTACAATTTCTTTAAATGTAAATAGATTAAATGTTCCAATCAAAAGAAGGAGGGTGGCTGAATGAGTAAAAAAACAAGACCTTTACATATGCTGCCTACAAGAGACTCACTTCAGATTAAAAGACACACACAGACTGAAAGTAAAAAGATGGAAAAGATATTTCATGAAAATGGAAAAAAAAACCTGGGGTAGCAATACTTATTTATACAAGACAAAATAGACTTTAAAACAAAAGCTATAACAAAAGACAAAGAAGGACCCAATAATCCTACCTCTAGATATTTATCTAAAGAAACTCAAAACACTCATTTGAAGGGATGTATATATCCATGTGTTCTTTGCAGTAGCCAAGATATAGAGGCAACCTGGATATCCATCAATGGATGAATGGATAAAGAAGTGATTCGTATATACAATGGAATAATACTAAGCCATAAAAAAGAATGAAATCTTGCCATCTGTAACAACATGGAATGACCTAGTGAATATTGTGAGGAGTAGAATAAGTCTGATCGAGAAAGACAAATACCATATGATTTCACTTACATGTGGAATCTAAATAACAAAATAAATAAACAAAATGTAAAGAAACTCATAGATACAGAGAAGATTTTGAGGGTTGCCAGATGGGAAAAGGGTTGGGAGTGGGTGAAAAAGGGGAAGGGATTAAGAAGTACAAATTGGTAGTTACATAATAGTCATGGGGATGTAAAGTATAGCATAAGGAATATAGTCATTAACATCGTAATAACTGTATATGGTGTCAGTTGGGTACTAGAGTTATCAGGGTGATCACTTCATAAGTTACATAAATGTCTAATCACTAAATGTCTAATCACTAGTTGTACATCTTAAACTAATATAATATTGTATGCTAACTGTAATTGAAAAACTAAAAAAAATATTTTTAAAAAATGTGTTTTTCTGCCAGGCTTCTGCAGGATTTGTTCTGATCCTAATATTGAACATATTCTTCCTTTTCCAGACCATTTGGATTCACTTTTTTCTTCTTTGCAATTTTTCTAAAGGAAAAAAGTAACATCATAATCTGTCACATAAGAAAGAGATTTCTTACTTTAAACCAGTGATTCTCAGTGTGTGGTCCTGGGACCAGCAGCATCAGCATCACCCAAGAACGTGTTGGAAATGCAAATTCTCAATCCCTACCCCAGACCTACTGAGTCAGAAACTCTGGGGGTGGCAACTAGCAATCTGTTTTAACAATCCCTTCAGATGATTCTGTTACATGGTAAAGTTTGAGAATAACTGCCTCAAACTAAAAATAAATTTAAGCTGAGAATACTTAATTTGTTAGCTAAGATGGGTTAGCTAAGACAAAAGCATATTTTCTTCTTGCCATTGTTACACAAGGTGAGAAGAAAACAGTACAGCAAAGCAATAGGACAGTGCTCTGGTGGGATATAAAGATGTTGAGTTGACTTATGGAGCTAGAGCCCCTTGTCAGCTCCTCTTGGTTTCTTTGTGTAAGATTTAGAGTTTCTGCAGAATGGCCTTGGCCATCTATTCATAGGTGAGTCTGAGCATGTGATATTAATCCTCCAATCATCAGTATTTAAGGATCAGTGGGAAAGTCAGCTATTACCTGGATTTTAGGCAACAGGAAAAATGTTGTCACTGCAACATTGGTTGATGACATAAATGATTATAGTTGTTGAGATTAAAGTATCATCCATAAAACAAAAAAGAGAGGTCATCAGGGATAATACATGCCTATTTTTTGTTGTTGGTTGAGACCTCTTCCCCATTGTGTCTTTGGAATGAGAAACACAGGCATGTTCTAGGTTATAAAAATGGTATGAAGAAAGTATGATGACAAGAATAGTACAGAGATGCCAGCCTTGAAGTCCATACTAGAAAATGCCTGAGCATATGTGTGTCTATGTGCATGCAAACACACTAGGAATATCAAACGAGCTTTGTTTATATGTTGTATACTTTAGCCCTATTTCATGTTTAGTTTTTTTTTTCCTTCACTCCATATTTTTAGCTACTTTGTTATGATTTTGAACTGATAATAGTAGCTAATATTTATTGCATACTACTTACAGACAGGCTCTACACTCAGGAATTTACTTGCATTTTTTCAATTGATCTCTGTAGCATCCAGAGTTAGGCACTGGTAAGCCTAACAGATACAATGGAGTTTTGTTTCAATCCAAAAATAATATTCAATTTTTTTCTACCATTTAAATTAGAAAATACTAACACTGTATCTGTTAAAATAATACCATTTTATCTCGTCCTTCAGGCTTATGCCTGCACAAAAGAGAAACAAGTGGACCTAGTCTTGGTGGCCACATAGTGGGGAGCAGGGAAGAAGGTAGCAGTGACTATATTTGGCTTTATAGCAGTCCATTCTCCTTTAAGAACTAAAATACAGTCATGCACTGCATAACGATGTTTTGGTCAATGATGAACTGCATATAGGAGTATGGTCCCATAAGATTATATGGAGTTGAAAATTTCCCATTGGCTAGGGATGTCATAGCCATTGTAACATCTGAGCATAACGTTATTACTCACACGCTTGTGGGGTACTGGTGTAAACAAACCTACTGCGCTGCCAGTCATATAAAAGCATAGCAAATACAACTGTATATGGTACATAATACTTGATAATAAACAACTATGTTACTGGTTTATGCATTTAGTACACTAGACTTTTTATCGTTATTTTAGTGTGTACTTTTTCTACTTATATAAAAAAAAGTTTGTTGTAAAACAATATCCAGTGTTATGCTAGCAGCAGCCTCATACACCTCACGTTTACCACATCTCTTGTTTGTATTATTTTTTCTTGTGTTTGATTTAATCTCGTGTTGTTTTATACAGTAACATGTTGTACAGGTTTGTAGTTTAGGAGCAATAGGCTATACCATATGGCCTAGGTCTGTAGTATGCTATACCATCTAGGTTTGTGTAAGTACACTCTATGAGATTTACACAAAACAACAAAATTGCCTAACCATGCATATCTCAGAAAATATCCCCATTGTTAAGTGGCACATGATAGTAAAGACGTAGCTTCAGGTAGTGTCTACTTACACCATTCCACAATGAGCTTGTTTGTGTCATCAACATCCAGGAGTGACTAACTTGACTGCATATTATCACATCTCTTAAACTGAGGTAGAGGAAAACCTAAACACAAAGAATAGAAATATACATTTTGAAAAAGATAAATTTTGATGTAACTCTTCCACTTACTTTTTTTTTTTTTTTTGCTATTAATAATGATAATGTAATTGCTACATTGTAGAAGCATGGGTTTAAGTGCTGGAATTTTACCTGAAGATAGGGATTTGTCTAAAGTATTATATGTATATAACTTATATGTTGATGCCTTTTATATAATATAATCTTTTAAATTGATAATTACAGAAGGATGGTGAGAAAGATAGGCAGATTTATTGTGTTTTTTTTTAATGTAAGTGGAATTCCTGTAAAAAACTAGTGATTTCTTGAAATAGTACCTCGTACATAAAAGGCATTAAATAATTGCTTGCTGAACTAAACTGGGAAAGATCAATAAACCTACCGTGGCTTCTATTTCAGGAAAAAAATTGTAGACTAGAAAATCTGGAAATCTTCTTGCTACAAAACATCAGTAAGTGCTAAAACAAACATTATAAAAATATTTCTTTAAAATGCGTTTATTCCAGCTTTATTGAGGTATAATTGATATATAAGATATTTAAAGTATGTATTGTGGTGATTTGATACACATATACATTGTGAAAGGATTCCCCACCCACCTAATTAACTCATCCATTACCTCACATATTTATTTCAGTGTGTGTGTATAAGAGACAGAGAACATTTAAGTTATACTCTCTTAGCAAATTTCAATTATACAATACAGTGTTATCAACTATAGTCACCATGTTTTACATTATATCCTCAGATCTATTCATCTTATAGCTGAAAGTTTTAACCCTTTTACCAACCTCTCCTTATTTCTCCCACTCCCAAGGCCTTGGCAATCACTTTTCTACTCGATAAAACAAACATATTTTTAAAAAGCACAACTGAAATTTCAAGAAAATAGGGAAAATATCCAAGGCACCAATCTTTGTAAACCCAGATTCATAATAAGTTGTTCACGCTATGATTGCTCAAGATGGGGAAATTTGGGGGATGGTTACTGCTTTTCATAATAAATAGGTTCAGCTTTTCCTGGTCATTCAGGGACAGAGAAAGTTACTAGGCATGTCCGAAGCTAGAAGTCGTAACTGAGTTAGAGAAAGAAATCCAGGATTATGAGAGAGATTTAAAAAAAAAAAAAATAAAAAAAAAAAAAATAAAAAAAAAAAAAATAAAAAAAAAAAAAATAAAAAAAAAAAAAATAAAAAAAAAAAAAATAAAAAAAAAAAAAATAAAAAAAAAAAAAACCTACCTATTAGTAAGAGAAAAATTAAGACACCTAGTCTAACAAAGAGGGCAAAAGATGAGAGAAGAACCTTGCAACCCTAACAGGAAAAGGACAAAGAAAAAAAATTCACAAGTGTAAGAAAATCTGCTCCACCTCTAAGTTGATGAAATGAATCCTGGTAGTTACGATCCCAGTTAAGAAATACAGAGGCAGCTGCAAGAAAAGTCTACCTAGAGTCTGAGACTTTTCAAGCCTCCCGTCCACTTTGTGTGCCACCTGACTCATGTGTGCCACCTGATTCATGTGGAGAAGAAGGACACTCTTGGAAGGAACCAAGGATGGTTCGTGGGATGGGGAGACTATGAAATGTTGATAATAAACTGAAGCACCAGGAGGCTGAAGTGCAGAAATTTTCATTCTGACCTCAAATGCTAGAACTGAGATCCCTGGAAGGAAATCAACAGCAGATAGATTTTAGCTTTGTATAAGGAAAAACCTCTAAGCCAGTCTCTTCCAGCACAAAGATTCTATGATGTTAAGATTTTGTAATTAATTCTCTGCTCTCTAAAACAAGCAAGTTCCAAAAGAAAAGAATTTATAATGTTCATGGTGAGAACTAAATATATTCTCTAATCCAGCAGTCCCCAGTCTTTTTGGCACCAGGGACCGGTGCTCCTATGAGAATCTAATGCCTGATGATCTGAAGTGGAGCTGAGGCAATGATGCTAGTGCTGGGGAGCAGCTGTAAATGCAGATAAAGCTTTGCTCACTCGCCATTTACCTCCCGCTGTGTGGCTTGGTTCCTAACAGGCCAAGGACATGTACCAATCTGCAGCCCGGGGATTGGGGACCCCTGCTCTAACACCTGTGGCGTTAGATTGGTACTGGGGTATCAGAACATCTATTCCACAAGGAAGAGCTAAAATAGAGTGGGCTAACTGGGAAGTGCTCTTGTTCACTGACGATGCTAGAGCATCGGTTGTGTTACTGAGGGGATACTGACTTGGAGTGGAGGAACCTTTTGGAAGAGATGAATTTTGAGTTCCTTCTAGAAGAAAGATTCTATAATTCTAAGATTTTGTAATTACAGGCTTTCAAGGTGAGCCAGCTCTCAAAGAAAAGAACTATTCTCCTATTTTCCAGTAATAACAGCACCCCTCACTTGTTAGGCATACTTGCTATAGGCACAATGGAAACAAAACAAAAATAAATCCAGGCACTATTGGCTCTAGAGAAAAAAAATGATAGTATAAATTTTCTAAATTAGACACAATTTATGCATCACAGAATTACGTGACAGCTGCACGGTCACATAATAGTAGCAATACCTTCTTAGCAACTGTGTAGCACTTAGTTTACAAAATGCAGTGTTAAAGTTGCTTAGTCAAGCTGAAGAAGGTGTTTCTATCAAGTCAAGGTCTATTTCTCGAGGCTTGTAAAACAAGAAAATTTAAACTGATAAAAAACATTCCTTAATGAAAAGCTGATTTTCATTAAGTCAGGTACCATCCACTGGAACTTCTATCCAATGACTAAGTAGGTGAGTCTGTTAATGAGTTCTATAACCAAGAGACCATACCTTACGGTTGGAGAAATGGAAAAGATCCTTTCTCTTGATGGAAAATAAAATATAATAAAAATTAAAAGTTCATTTTTGGTTCATTATGCACACATTATACACACATTAATGTGCCAAAGCCTATTATCATAACCTCCAGGTAGGCCTGGTCCTCTGCCCAGGAACAAAAGAATGATAGAGCTGTGGGAGAACCTGGTTCCCTTCCTTTTTCTAAAGTCATTAGGTGGTGCTAACAAAGTAGGCATCGGCATGGAATGTGAGTAATAGATTCTCCCATTGGAGGATGTCAGAGCCCAAGCAAATTAAAGAGAACATCCATTAGGACTGCTGCCTAGTACAGATGTCCAAAGAAGGTGGGCATTCAAGTGAGATGGGTTTGGGAGAAGGGCATGGTGTGGAATGTGGGAGCCCCAACAGCATGAAGAAGCTGGTCTGTCATGGGGATCAGAGCACAAGTGCACAGGAAAGTGGTCTAATCAGGAAGTAGGGACTCCAGGGGGAGATAAGGCAGGTAATCACACTGTGGGCTAGAGGTGAAGCTTAGTGGGGTAAGGAGTATGTCTACAGATGGGATGAAGGACTGGACTGTGGAATGTCAGAACCAGAATTACATAAGGTCAGCATTTGTATGGGAAAAGTGGCCATGGCATTGGGAAATTAGTACGCAGGGAGAGGGGATTGACAGATCAAAAATAAATTAAAATATTAGGAAATTGGGAGCCAGGTTCTTCGTTCTAGGAGAAGGTAGCAACAAGTATGGGAAGGAAAAAACTGAATTCAATCTTGTAGTGTTAGATTGGAATTGGGGTGGGAAATCATGGTTTTCAATAAATATAAATAGATGGATAAGTGAGGCTAGCAGTGGGAAGCTCAGAGAGTGGATTTCTGAACCAAATCAAGGTTCTCCTAGCAAAGAAGAGGGGAAGGATTGACTATTAAGTAGCAAACATCTTGCCAATCCACCATTCAAGAGATCATCGAAGTAGGGAGCAAACATGCTGGCTTGAGTACAGAGCTGATGTTGATATTTGCTTAATATCTTGCTTTCGCCAACTCTGATTTCTCTACTTACCTACAGTATTTCTAGATTACTAACTCTATATCAGGGGTCAGCACACTTTTTCTGAAAAGGGCCAGATAGTAAATATTTATACTTCGCGGACCAAGTGGCAATATCCTCAATTCTTTGAGCAAACTGTTCACCAAAAGGTGAATGATCATTTTCAACATTTTTTTACATTTTACATTTGAAAATGTAAGAATTATTTTTATTTTTTAAAATGTATTTATTTAAATTAGTTTCAAGTATACAGTACATTGGTTAGACATCTATATAGTTCATAAAACAATCCCCCCAATTGCTCCCTCCCTTTCCTGGCCCTCTACCTAGCCAACATATTAATGCTAACTGCATTCCCTATGCTGTGCTCCCCATCTCTGTGATCATCTATCAACTACTAATTTGTACTTCTTTAATCTGAGGTCCATACAAAAACAGCTATGGGGCCACATTTGTCCCACAGTCCATATTTGTCAAGGCTGCTGTAGACTGTCCTAACCCCTAGCATTCCTATGATGAGCCCAGTGTAGCAGCTTTTCTGGAACTTAACGTACTAGACCTATGGCATCTGCAAGATCCCTTGGGACAAGCCAAATTCTTAACTCTATTCTTGTCATCCCTGTTCTGAGGGCTACCCATGC